TCTTTGCTTGAAGTCAAGTGTCACTCGGAGGGACTTTAGCAAATGCCTTATGGAAATTCATATAATCAACATCAATAAAAATTCCACTCCCTCAGTCACTTCTTCCAAACAAAAAGCCAATCAGGTTTAACAAAGCCTTTGTTTACAAATCCATGTTGGTGCTCTGCAATCAGATGAAAATTTTCAAGGTTTCAGTCACTTTAAGCTGGTCTTAGTTTGCTTTGTTAATGTTTATAGGCAGCAATAATGCATAGAGACAACAAGGTGCAGAGCTGGATGAACATAGCAGGCCAAGCAGCATCATAGGAGCAGAAAGGCTGACGTTTTGGGCCTAGACCCTTCATCAGAAATGGGGGAGGGGAAGGGGGTTCTGAAATAAATAGGGAGAGAGGGGGAGGCGGATAGAAGATGGATAGAGGAGAGGATAGGTGGAGAGGAAACAGACGGGTCGAAGAGGCGGGGATGGAGCCAGTAAAGGTGAGTGTAGGTGGGGAGTTAGGGATGGGATAGGTCAGTCCAGGGAGGACGGACAGGTCAAGGGGGCGGGATGAGGTTAGTAGGTAGGAGATGGGGGTGCGGCTTGAGGTGGGAGGAGGGGATAGGTGGGAGGAAGAACAGGTTAGGGAGGCAGGGACGAGCTGGACTGGTTTTGGGATGCGGTAGGGGGAGGGGAGATTTTGAAACTTGTGAAATCCACATTGATACCATTGGGCTGCAGGGTTCCCAAGCGGAATACGAGTTGCTGTTCCTGCAACCTTCGGGTGGCATCGTTGTGGCACTGCAGGAGGCCCAGGATGGACATGTCGCCTGAGGGGTGGGAGGGGGAGTTGAAATGGTTCGTGACTGGGAGGTGCAGTTGTTTATTGCGAGCCGAGCGTAGGTGTTCTGCAAAGCGGTCCCCGAGCCTCCGCTTCGTTTCCCCGATGTAGAGGAGGCCACAACGGGTACAGCGGATGCAGTATACCACATTGGCAGATGTGCAGGTGAACGTCTGCTTGATGTGGAAAGTCTTCTTGGGGACTGGGATGGGGGTGAGGGAGGAGGTATGGGGGCAGGTGTAGCACTTCCTGCGGTTGCAGGGAAAAGTGCCAGGTGTGGTGGGGCTGGAGGGCAGTGTGGAGCGGACAAGGGAGTCACGGAGAGAGTGGTCCCTCCGGAAAGCAGATAAGGGTGGGGAGAGAAAGATGTCTTTGGTGGTGGGGTCGGATTGCAGATGGAGGAAGTGTCGGAGGATGATGCGTTGGATCCGGAGGTTGGTGGCGTGGTACGTGAGGACGAGGGGGTTTCTTTTTTGTTTCTTATTGCGTCGACGGGGTGTGAGGGATGAGTTGCGGGAAATGTGGGAGACATGGTTGAGGGCGTTCTCGACCGCTGAGGGGGGGAAGTTACGGTCCTTGAAAAACGAGGACAACTGAGATGTACTGGAGTGGAATGCCTCATGCTGGGAGCAGATGTGATGGAGGCGAAGGAATTGGGAATAGGGGTGGCATTTTTGGGTCTACAATGCTGTGCAAGAACTTGTATATAATCTTTGATTAAGTGATAGTGAGATTTTTGAATGAATATGGGGAAGTTCATTTTTTTTTAAGATCAGACCTCAGAATAATTATTTATTGTTCTGTTTGTATGTAATAAGTAACAACAGAAATGTTGTCTTGTTCAGCTTATATTTATTCTTAAAAGCCCAGTAACCCAGACCTGGGATAAACTTAGTCTGTTTTAAATATTAAATGACTGCTAGGGAAGCTTTATCTGTGTTTCAACCTTGCAGCTTTTAACTGCTAAGTAGATTGAGTGTTTTGGGTTTTTCAAGTTATGTGGAGGGTTTTGACAGCAAATATTACAATCCTGTAATTACAGGCAATGAAATATTAAGTTTGCAAATAATGCAGGCCATATATATCTGCAATCTCTTTAGCATTTGATGGAACTGTCTTTGTGCCATCTAACTTAGTTTTAGAGGCACAAGAAATTCTACCTATTTTTGTATCAGAGCATCGGAAAAGTAAAGGAGGAAAATCCAGTATAGCATCTATCAAATCTGAAACTACATTTTTGAATGTTAAATATTTCATGAGTTCTTCTGAACAGAGATCTTTTGAATGAAAGAAATAAGCTTTCTGATGTGTAAACTAATTTTTCGACTAGTTTGTGTTTAAATTATGCAAAATAAACATGAGCTGCAATTTTTGTTTAGGACTAAGAAGACCAAAGTATTGAAATGTTCAATGATTCAAACTAAAGTAGTCATTTCTATTCGTATCATTCCATCCAGACATTCCATAGTACTTCATATTTCGTGAGTTCAGTAGTCACTGTTACAAACAGGAACTAAATAAATGATCAGGTTATCTATATTTTTCCAGTGACACAGAGGGGAATATTGTCTAGAATACCAGGATAGCACTCTATCCCACCCAAATAGAGTCTTCATTTTATTGTCTCCATGGAAATTCAGTACTTCAATGATAAAATGACAGCCTGACCGATGTGCTGTGATCCTTTGATTGTCAAGACTCTAGTGAGAGTAGAATGCTCGAATGAAACCCCACTATTCCATGAGTTGTCCCAGGTGTGGAATTTGGTATCTCTCTGGCTTCCAATGTTTGCAGCTCATCTGCAGGGGATTTTGACTTACTTTACAGCAAGTTGGGTAGAAGTCCTGAAAAAAATTAGATATGCAATTAGGCAAGGGTTCCAACTTTATTTGTATTGGTAGTCCATAATGAGTTTAAAAAATCTGCACTAATTTCTGGAAATTGGTTTATTAATCATTGCAAAGTACACTGGTATTCTGCTTTGGTTTTCAGCAACAGTCCTATGCAACCTACCAACACTGCCGAGTTATTCTTCAAAACTTGTATTAGGTATTAAAGATGGTGATTTTGATTAAATGTTAAGGTTTTCTCACAAGTATGGCATGAAAGACAGAACTGCACTATGTCCTAGTGAAGTCTTGGCTAGGTAATATACCTGTTTATCAATTCTTGAGTTTTCTGTTTTCTTACGTATCCTGTCATAGTAATTTCATGTGCTGTTTGCACTATCTCCTTGTGATATCTGGGTGGTATCGCTATCTGATGAACAACCATCTACTACCCATCTCTGTGTGTTTCAGGATGTTGTCACTGCCAAATTGGAACTCCATGTTTAAGATAGGAACACTCAGAACTCCTTCAATATTATGAGCTGCCTGTATTAACTTACATAACTTTTGCATTCGCTTGGAGTCTCAAAATGAAACCATTCATGCTAAACACTTGAATTATCACCGTCCTTAAAGAAACTTTCAGCTACTCTAAATTCTGCTTGTAGTACTGCAGTGATGGTGATGGACTTTGTTTGGCATTGCTCTGGTCATCATGCACAATGGAAAAATACCTGAAACTGGTTCCTGGAATGGCTTCACCTCTTTAACCTTATGCAAATTTTTATGATTGTAGGCGAAGCTATCCTTTTCAGTCCAGCCAAATCATTACCTAGGAATAAGTCAGTTCTGTCAATGGGTAATTTCTAAACTCCTACTACCACAGGACCAGGCATCAAGTCACATTCCTACTGTGTTTTGTACAACTGAATGGGAATGTGCTGTCCGCTTAGTGCTTTTATTAAAACTTTGGTTTTCAATGCACTCTCTGAAGGAAAATAATGTCCTCCTTCAGTAAAAGAGTTTGTATAGCTACTGTATCTCTTCATATTGGTTTTGATTTAGCTGTGTCATTTAAAGAAAAAGTGGTTGCCTTTCCTTTTGACAAAAGCGCTTCAAATCTCTCATTTACTTTATTCACCTGCTGAATTCACATCAGTGTTTACTTTTGGTTTCATAGCTGTACTTAAAATTTCAGTTTCATCCATAGTTTAAAGTGTTGGTAAAGATCTGTAGCTCGGGTTGTGGGTGAGGTTATTGACTTGCTCGCGGAGCTGGCTTGTTTTTGTTCAGATGTTTCGTCACCATGCTAGGTGGCATCATCAGTGGAGCCTCTGATGAAGCGATGTTGTTCTACTCTGCGTGGAATTTATATTATCTGGTCTGTTATGGTGAGTGTTGTCATTTCCGGTTTTGATCTGTATGGGTTTGGACCTCACTGGCTTATAGATATGGTTTGACTTTCAGTGATCGTCCTGTAAACATCTGTTACAGTGACAAAAAACTCACTTATTTGCTAGCCCTTTTTTCATAATTTCAAGCTTCCATTTATTTCTCTTCATACAATAGAAATTATCATAATGTTGTGTAATTTAAATAAATCAGTATGTTATGGATTATTGTTATATTTTCATTTGAGAGGGTAGGGTAATAAAACGTTTGCATGGCTGTTGACTCCCCTTGATAGAGAGAGAGAGAGAGACACACACACTAGTCTTGTAGAGTATTGTAGGAAAGAAATCTGGAAAGCTGAATCCCTGTGTTAGATGCTGTGATAATTAAAATTAATTACTGTGCATAAGTTTTCAAGTCTACAATTAGCGAGTGCTGACAGGGAGTAGGAGGAGTATTAAGAACAGTACTTGAGATTTGTTGAGTGCCAGAGCTGAATGTAATATTCCAATTTTACCTGACTAATGTCCTGTGTAAATTGTGCAAATGAACTTGCAGTCTGTCCCTAATTTCAAAATCTAGCCTTCAGTTTTCCCCTTTTATAATCTTGGAACTTCAAAAGTGTGTACAGGTTCAAAGAATCTGTACCTTCAGATCTCTGTTCTTCAATTCTGTTAAGATTTCTGCTGTTTAGGGGGCAATTGCTTTAAAAGTATTTCCAAATAGCATTTCTTATCAGTTAATTCCTATGGCACAAATTGTCAGATTAGGATTGGTGACATGTAAGATGCAAACAAATGATAAGACATTGAGCAAAGTGATGCAATCAATGTATCAGTTCTGCATATAGTACCTAGGTTCATATTTGTGCAATCTTAAATGCTGTATTTCTAAAGTAATTGTTCTGTTTAAAGTTGGAGTCAGTGTACACAGTACTAAAATAAATTTCACTTTTCTGCAGCTAAATATCGTGATATCTTCAAAGATATTGTCAACAAAATTGCACTGGTCAAACAGGAAGATGTAAGTATTGGTTAGGTTTCATTATTAATTAAATATCTAACCACTTTGCTCTTTCCCTCTTTCACACATCTGAAGAGTCTGCCACTGTTTTCCAGCTAAACCCATTATTTTCTCACACACTTTCCAAATCCATAATGGAAATCCATTAAAGATATTCAATGTGTGTAAAAGCATTATTGTGAATGGTTGCAAGCTGTTGCAACTAAAAAGAAGTGCTGTTCACTAAGCGTGAACTAGCATATTCTATATTTACTGCTTTTCTTTTACTGCCAGGTGCACCTACATAGTGTCAAAGAATGTTCACTTCAGAATGCTTCTAAGGCTTAGAGCGTACTATACTGATATCTTCTGGTAGCTAATTTGACAGTATAAATGACCCATACAAACTGTTTTGATTTCTCATCAGCACTAAGTTGGCTAATGTTGGTGTAATTGACCAAAGATGTGGTAGAATCATACATTTGTTACCACTACTTTCAATTAGCCCATAGCTGTCCTGACTGGTCTCCCAACTTTAACCTACATCAATAAGCTTATCAAAATTTTGTTGTCTTCATTTTAACGTGCATTGAGGTCTGTTTGCCCATTATCCCTGTACTCACTGATTTTTGTCAGAGGCTGGACTGACATTGCCTCAGTTTTAAAAATTCCCATACTGGTTTCAAATTCCCCTATGGTCTTGTTCATCTCTCTTTCTAGACACCAAAAAGTTTTCAATTGGATAGTGTTCTGGCAAAATTACAGTATCAGTTTTATAATGAGTAAGAATAGAGAAACTACTGATTTGCAATGTTGCATCATTATGAGTGCAATAGGATGTGAGTTTCCAATGAGGTTTACAGAGCAACTCCAACCCATAAGCTGATCTGTGTGCACTGAAGCGGAGTCCATTTCATATAAGGTTCACATATACAGCAAGCAATAGTTCCAACTCTGGAAATTTCCAACAAAAGAATAAATGCATTCAACTAGAAAAAATCACCACCATTTAAACAGTTCACTTTTAAAACCAATAGTCGCTTATATTGGTTAAAGATGATACCCATTGTTTATTTATACAAATGTCAAGTTGAAAATTATAGTGTCTGAGAACCCAGTTTATTTTGGGCAAGTTGACCAACACAAAGAGAACTGATTTAACTTTTTACTGTATTAGTCTCTATGGTGGATGTGCTTAGAATAAAACAGAATCACAGAATTATTATGGCACAGGCGACTGTCATTTGGCCCATTATGCCTGCATTGGCCACAAAATAAATAATTTGTTGAATGATTATTTGTAATTATTAATATTTAGTTGTATTGTCATCCAAGAACCAATCTGTTCTTTACAGTACTGGCAAATCTGTGTTTTCAGCATTCTTGTTTTGGTATTTGTGTTACCTTTACTAGGTGCTGCATGAATTCTTAACTCTCCTTGGAACTAATTAAAACAATTTTTTAAATGTTATATATTATGCCAATGATTGCATCTAAGGGCAAATCACTCTGTGCAAAAGCACCCACTGCATCACCACAGCATTTACAATCAGTCGAAACTATCCTATAATTAATCTGGAATTTTGCTAATACCCTTCTGTTTCCCAAGATTTGGTACTGGCAATTTGTCTTGGTTGTATAGCAACCTGTACTCAACAACTCATGGCATACAATAAATAAAAAAAAAGCATATAGTTTGCACAAAATATTCTAAATCAAATTACAGTGCTCGGACCACTTAATTGAACTGTGTGCCTGAGGTCACTTTGCCTTCCTCCTGTTTGATCATTTCATTCTGGCTCCTTTGCTTCCCTTCCCATTCTCTAACACCACTATACCTTATCACACGGTCCCTGTCTAGTCCAGTCTCCTGTATTTCCTTTGTTTGTGTCCGTGTCCGTGTCCACGTCCTTGCAGTGCTTGTCTAGTCTGTGAGACCCGCCTCCTTTCTCTTCTGGTCTATTCCCATTAACCTAGTGACTTCGTAAATTTCTCTTCCTGACCCGAATCCTATCTGACATTTTAAATGATTTCTCCTCCATAGCTACTGTTTACCCCCACCTCCCTACCCTTTCAAAACATATTGACATTACATTCCTCCATTAACCCATCCTTCAACCTTTAGTCCTTTAGATTTCCAACCCAGCTGTAAATCCTGTTATTTTCTCTCTACCTGCTTTTTGCTGCCAGTGCAACTACAGGGAGCATGCTTACCACATATCAGTTACAATGTCTGTGACATTAATGCCAGAGATGCCACTGGTAGCTTCTTGCATTAAAGATTAGATTTAACGCCACTGTTTCAAAATAAAAAGAGGAAAATTAAAAAAAACTCAATTGCACACCAGTTAGCCTAATATCAGTTAGGTAAATGCTAGAGTCAATTATAAAAGATGTGATTAACAGTATACTTAGAAAGCATTAATGGGATTTGACAAATTTAACATGGGTTAATGAAAGGGAAATCATGCTTAGCTAATCTTGAACTTTTTATTTTGAAAAATTGGCTAGTAGAATAGATAAGGGAGAACCAATAGATATAGTGTATTTGGATTTCAAGAAAGCTTTTGATGAGGTCCCACATGAGGCTAGTGGGCAAAAATTAAAGCATACAGGATTGGTGGTAATATACTAGAAAAATTAGGAATCAGTTGACAGACTGAAAATTGTGGTAATAAATGGGTCATTTTTTTTCTGGGTGGCAGATGGTTTATATTGGTGTACTTTAAGGATCCATGCTTAAGCCCCATCTATCCATAATTACACAAGTGACTTGCTTGAGGGAACAAAATGCAGTATTTCCAAGTTTGCTGATGACACAAAACTAAGTTAGAATGTGAGTTGAGGGGAGGATGCAAGGAGGCTTGAGGGTAATCTGGACAAGTCTGTGCGCAAAGACATGGCAGGTGCTGTACAACATGAATGTGCTAATGTGAAACATGGAGTTGTACACTTTAATATGAAAAACAGAAAGGAATCGTATTATTTAAGTAGTGATAAATAGGAAAATAGAATATGCAAGGGGATCTGGGTATGCTTCTACCTCAGTTAATAAATAACAGGCAGGTGCAGCAAGTGATTAGGAACGTGGGTTGCATGAAGACGTGTTCAAAATTAGGATTGACATACTGTGAGGCCATGATAAGATCATACTTGGAGGATTGTGTGCAGCTTTGGACCCCCTGCCTAAGAGTAGGATATAATTGCTGTGAAGGGAATTCATTGAAAGTTCACCAGGATGCTACCAGTGATGGCAGTACTGTCATGTGGTTTGACTGAGCCTGTATTTTCTAGAGTTTAGAAGAGTGAGAGGGGATCTGATTGAAACATAAAATTCTAACTGGGCTCGACAGACTAGATACAGGGAGGATGTTGTCATGGTTGGGAATTTAGAGCCGGGGCCGCAGTCTGCAGATATGGAATAGAACTAGCATGAAACATTTCTTCAGTTGGAGGGTGGTAAACCTGTGGAAATTGTTACCACAGAAGGCTGTGGTGGCCAAGTGACTAACTATATTCAAGAAAGAAATTGATAAATTTTAAATACTAAAGCCATCAAAGGATATGGAGAAAAAGTGGAAATACATTATTGAGGTAGAGGATTGGCTGTATTCATATGGAATGACAGCAGCATGGAAGGCTCAATTTGTCAAATTCCTGCTCCTAGTTCCTATCTTTTTGGATTCTACCATGATATTGAGCAATTCAAACCTATTTTAAACACTGCAAAACCAAATAAATGTTCTTTTTTTAAATGTCTCTCTGAGCAGAATTTTAAATGTTTTCTTATCTATCTTGATCAGCTTAAAGTTATCGTTTAGGATTATAGTTTTCACAGAGCTAAGCAGGGTACCAAGTCGTGTGCCAGTTTTTTTCTTTCTACACAATTGTGTAACCTAATACATACACTTCCCACATCACCAAAACCATGTAATCCCATGAAAAGATGAAAACCAAACTGAACATGCAGAAGCGTTTAGGGGAAGAAACTCATTCGTGCTCAGTCCTTGAAGTTATCTACTTTGTTAATGAGGTAATATCATCACAGCCAGAAACAGTGCAGTTCTTGTTGGAAGAAAGTCAGTGAATCAGTCACCATTTGGCATGCATGACAACAGCCTCTTTCTGATGTCCACTATTTACTGGGAAAACAACCATCCCCTGATACCTAGAGGTAGATCTTAGCTGATTAGTGACAAGTAACATTGTTGGCTGAATGACCATCTCCAAAGAGAATCTAACTATCATTGTTATAATTGCCCAAGCAATACAAAGTTATGAGCTGTGACTATACACTGAAATGGGACAAAATCTATGAATTGTAATGTTCTCTGGCATATGCAAATGTGGTAACAACAGTATAGTTATATAACTGCTTCAGTTAAAGATTCCAAGGCATTCGTGAAGGGTGTGAGCAAGCAAAAATGGATTTCTTGCTGTTGTCTCAGCATCCGAGGAGGGAAGCGGTGGATTTGAAAGCAGGAGCTTAAAGGAGATGGGGAGTGGAGTGGTAGAAGGGTAGGAGAGGAAATTCAAGAGTATAATGCTTAGGCAGCTAAGTCACTGTTAATGGTTGGTTGAAGGAGGTTGTGTGAATTCACAAAAGACCAGAGACAGCGGAAAGGATGGTTTGGGGGCTGGTGTTGTAGAGCTGAATCAAGTTACAGAGATAGGGAGGAACAAAGCTGTTAGGGATCTGTTTTATACTTTAATGAAATAATCTGACAAATAGAAAGGGAGAAAATTACTGTGGAGGTAAAAAAAGAAACTGCAGGACTGAACTGAAATGTTGAATGCACAGCTTGTAGCTCAAATTGAATGATGGAAGGTTGTTCGTAATGTAACAGAGTTCTGTGAGAAACCACAAAATTCAATATAACATGTTTTTCATAAAACTTCCAACTTCAAATGCAAGAAATAATGATCACTGTTTGAGACTAATGAAGATTCCAGGCCTATTATTAGCGGAAGGAGCATCTCTTGTGCCCTTGATTTTTAACAGGCTGCTATTAATAACAGCTTGACTTCTCTACTATGCTGTAGTGAATTAATGATGTTTATGTATTAAATTCTGGTGATGGTGCAAAATTGCAGTGCTTGGATTCATATTGATGTTTTGATCAAGCAATAATGACATTGCGTTACTCATTTAGGAAATTTTCAGTGTTTTGTTCTTCATGTTTCAAAAGTTTTAAAGTACTGGTATCTGAAACGAAGAAAATTATATAAAGGCAAGGCAGTGAATCTGCCAGGACCTAGCTAAAAATTTGTCTCTCTCTTCCACACATTATATCTTTGTTGTTTTCCTCTGTCATTTTAAACCCTGAATCCCATTTTCAAAATGCAAGAAGTTTTATGTTTTATTCATCACTCTCTTCCAGAATGGTATACACATGATGTGCAAAGCAAGAAAGACACAGGTGATCGTTTGTCTAGAATTGCTTTTGCAGTATAATTTGTAAACAGGAGTACTTACACCTATGTTTCTTGTGGGTTATATGGTATTATATATTACTCGAATAAATATAGATTTAACTTGTGACATCCTTTAATTTATTGTAGATATTTTAACACAATTCGATTTTTTTTTTTTGCTAAATGTATGGAAAATGTCAATAATGCATTTTTACAAATTAACTTATTTTCTAAAAAAAATCTAGGGTGAAAAATATGTTGTTCTTAAAAAGAAATATCAACATCTTGTGCGGGAAAGAGATGGATACCACAAAGAAGAAAACATTACAATGAGTACTCCTGTAGAAGAGTTTGTTGAACAGTTACAGAAAGAAGAACTATCCCCACATTCTGAAGAAGAAAAACAGCAGAACTCTAACTCTGATGCCCCAAAAAGCAAGAAAACCTCTCCAATGGAAACCCTACAGAAAATAGATATTAGTGAACCTACAAGTAGCAAGATTTCTGCAGGAAGCTCTACAGAAGAAAAAGTGAACATGTGTGAGTGGATTGTACAAGAATTACCTCCACCAGCAGCTGACACTAAGACCAAGGTGCCTTCAGAACTAGCGAGGGAGAGCCAGGTACCTTTTACTCTGTTCCTTGAAGTTTTCTGTTGTTCTTTCAGATGCCTTTGCTTCTGAAAGCATTGAGCCTGAGTTGAGATTTGATACCATAAACACATGGACATCCTGGGGTCTTGCACTCTGCCTATTTATCAAGCGTAAGTCTGAGCACCGGCAGACTCAGTCTGCTAAATTTGATCATGTTTTCTTTCAATATCTACATATGTGCACGTCCATTCAAAGTCACTGGATGCCATGCAGGAATGAAAAACCTGTGTTACTTTCTTCTCATTGATACTGAATTGCTGAAAACTGCTAAAATATTCCTGTAGATGAGCCTTCGATGAGCTAACTCAACAAAGACCAAGATTCTGGTATGTTCCTGGTTGACGTGGCTCAGTTACTATCATGCTATAGATATAGCATAACTTCAGATAGCACTTTTCATGGATTCAATGGTCTAGCAGACCTAAACTTGATTCTTTAAAATGGAGTTTTAAAGTAGTTTTATGAAGGGGGATTGTAAAATTGGAGGTCTAAGTCTGGAGCCATAAATGCAATCTTGGTAGGCAGTTATTTCTTTTCAAAAGTATTGATTGGAATTCCAAAGTAAGACATTTAAAACCTCCACTAGTTCTCTTTTTCAATTTGTGAAATATTTTCGAAACACTCAGCTAACATGGATGTAACTGACATCTGATTTCATTGACAGTTTTTTCAATTGATCAGTAAGAGATTCATATTGCATGTTCTATGACTCCTGATGAGATGCCTAAATGGTCATTGACTGGATAGTGTTTAGCTTTTGAATAATTGAGGTGATGAAATTGCCCAATACAATGCTTGACATATGAGTGCTGAACATGTTCATATTGCAGTTTATCTGCTGTTTTAACTGGAGGTTAACTTTTTTCTTGCTAAATTATAATTTTAAGTCCTATGTTACATTCTGTTCCTGAACTTCAAAGGCTGATATTATCCAGTTTGTTTTTATTGCAACCTTTTATGTGGGTATCATGGAAAGAAAAGCATCGAGAAAGCGGAAGAACAGGGTAAATTTTAAACCGTGGAGGGCCACGTACTCAACGTAAAATGTGGTTAGTTGAAAGCCACTGTTTTTCCTCCATATCTTCCCCTGTTTTGTCAGGTTTACAATAAAGACCCACAAAACCAAGATTCAATTGTTTGTGAATAAATATCTACAATATAGTGCTTGAGGGTATTACTTTTTAGTGGATCTTTTTGTTTGAAATCTGATCAGCCTCGGATACATCAAATTTCCTGTACTCCAGATTTGAACAATACAAATTGTTGTTTCTTTGAAGTAAATCATGCAAGATATTTAGAGAACAGAATATGTTTTGTTCATATTAGGAACATTTTTTGTTTTTTGCATGACTCCAGGGATTTCAACTCTTGAACCTAGAGATGTCTAATTTGTTAACTACTCTTGTGTGAAGTTGTAGTTTTAATCTTAATCCTAAATTTTGTCTTTTACTGCTTTTACTCTACAACACAATGCCCGACCCTTGCATTTTTATTTGGGCATTGCTGGATTAGTCTTTTTATGTCGCTAATTGTACTGCTACAGGATCACTTCAGATTCCTCTTTCTCCAGAGTGGGAAAGCTGAAGTTTATCAACTTTTTTCTTCTGTCTGATTATATTTACTTCCTCTTTTTTTGCTGTTTGACATTCATTGGTTTGTATTTGCTTTTGCATTTGGATTGGAACATGTCTAGCATCAAGCTTGGTAAGATCTTCCACTCTGTTTCATCCTAATTTCATGGAATATGGATTGTTTATTTTTCCTTCCTACATTGATGGTATTTCTTTTAATTTGCTATTGTTTGACTCCTACTAATCTTTGAACTCATTATAGTGTTGAGGAAGTGTTGTTGTGCCCATAGTCAGTGTTTATCAAATGATTAATGTTAACCAAGTCCATATTTGGCCCAGTGCACAGAAGCAGAATATTCCAGGATGCTATCTTAAGAATAGAATTATTTTCCTTTGTTTCTGACAAAGTTGTTATTTGAGGATGAAGGATAGATGTAGGAATCTAAAAGATTAATACACAAAATGAGGATTTATGATGCATTAACAATGTATTGGCAAGAGTAGAGTTTGGGTTAACAGGCAGAAAGTAGGAATAAACAGGCATTTTGAAGTCAGCAGTCTGCAACTAATGGGATACTATCAGGATCAGTGCTGTTGTCTCAGCTCTTGGTAATCCATTTTAATAACTTCTGTCACGGGACAGAGAATCCCATGTCCAATTTTGCAGATCCCATATAGCTATAATGGGACATCATGCTTTGAGGAGCTGTTAGGGCTGTAAAAGAATATTGACAGGTTGAGTGGGCATTGAGACAGATAATGCCATGTTCAGAAGTGAGGTCATTCATTTTGGTAGGAAGAATGAAAAGCCATACATTTTTTTAAATGGTGAGTAACTTTGACATCATGAAGGTTCAAAAAAGTTTGGGTGCTCAAACTTAACATGCAGATATAGCCAGCAATTAGGAAAGGAAATAGTGTGTTGACCTTTATCGTAAATGGACTTAGTAGAAGAGTCACACTTGCTGTACTGCGCGTAGTGTTGGTCTCCTCCTTATCTGAGGCAAGATCTGCTTACCTTGCAGATTCGCGAGATTGCTTATTGCAATGTGAGGGCTGACTTTGATGAAACGATGGATAGACTGGGTTTTTTTCAGAATGGTAATCTCATTGAAACTTAAGATCTTGAGGGGGTTTGACAGGTTAGATGTTGAAAGACTGTGTATTTCATCCCTGAGGTGTATTGTCATATGTCTGAACAAGTTGGTTTAAAATATTTAGAATGCAAGCACTTTTTCCTTTTTATTGACCTCTTTCTCTATTGATAATTTTGTCATAGCTGAACTGCTTTCTTTTATTATTAACTCCAGGGTCTTTAGTGTAAAACAAAGGAATTGATTTGAATGACTTATGCTAGTGGATTTGTTATATTTGTCACTAATCAATCATAACAGCAGTACTGAATGAAGTTCCCAAACTATATTTGACATACTACCTGATGTTGGTCTGCAGTCTGCTCATTGCTTCCTTTGTGAGCAAAGATGCCTTACGATAGAATTGTAGAATCCCTACAGTATGGAAGCAGGCCATTCGGTCCATGAAGTCCATGATGACCCTCCGAAGGGTATCCCACCTGGACCCACCTGCCTATGCTATTCCTGAAAACCTGCATTTACCATTACTAATCCACCTAGCCTGCACATTCCTGGCCACTATGGACAATTTAGTGTGGCCAATCCACCTAACCTGCGCGTCTTTGGACTGTGGGAGGAAACCAGAGCACGCGGAGGAAACCCATGCAGACATGAGAAGAATGTGCTGTGCAGATTTGACAAAGACAGTTGCCGGAGGGTATGCATCATGTCCCAGATTCTGTTCCTGATCTGTGTCAAGTATTTAGAGTGTTTCTATTTGGCCTCAAATTCATACAAATTTATTCATTTGAGTAGCCCCTTTTAGAGCAGCTGTATGCCACCATTAGGTCCAAGCAAGATTGGATTCCTTCGGATAAACTATGGATGTCCTAATACATGACAGTTACCACTTGGTGAGGTGTTAGTGCTAGTATATCCTATGAGGTAGGGAAAAGAAAGTGTTTAAAAAATACATAAAGCATTGTTTAAATGCCTACAGAGGATTTTACTTCAGTATACTTGCACTGACCATTGACCCTTTTTTCTTTAAATTGCAGGAAAGACCCAGTATTTGCTTCAGTGAAGCATTTGGAGAAAAACAGTGCAAAAAGCTTGATACTGCATCTGAAAGTGTTACAGAATGTCCAGTGCAGATTGAAGTAAAGGTGGAAGAACCCCAAACAGATGAATTTGATTCTGTGTTCAAGGTAGTCTTGCAAAATTGTCTTTACAACCATTGGGATTGAAAACTCCAAGACAACCTAAGAGAATGAAAAATTGGTATTGAAACTTAGAAACAACTTTTGCAATTTATGAAATTGTTGATCATAGTCTCATTAGGTCATGGCGGGGCCTGTCAGTCAGCATGTTGTATCAATGTAGGCTGTCTATATAGCAATTTCTCCACTTTGTCTGTAGTCCTCCTACAAAAGAACCCCTCTTTATCATCAATGTGCAATCCCTTTACACGTCCATCTTCCGTCAGGATGGTCTCAGGACTGTCAGCTTTTTCCTGGAAAAAGCGCTCGAACCACCCCATCCACCACCACCCTTCTTCACCTGGCCAAGCTCATCCTCATTTTGAACAACATCTCCTTTTAACTCCTCCAATTTTCTTGAGGTCAAAGGGGTAGCCATGGGGTACCTGCATGGGCCCCAATTATGCCTGTCTCTTTGTAGGTGTGTGGAACATTCCTTGTTCCAGTCCTACTCTAGCCCCCAACCATAACTCTTTCTCTGGTACATCAATAACTTCATTGGTGCTGCTTCTCTCTGTCATCTGGAATAGGAAAATTTCATCAGTTTCACGTCCAATTTTCACCCTGCTCTTGCCTTCAAGTGATTGGTTTCTGACTCCTCCCTTCCCTTCCTCAACATCTCTATTTCCATTTCTGGGGTGGACTGGCCACCAATATCGACTACAAATCCACTGACACCCGCAGTTACCTTGACTATACATTGTCACACCCTGCTTCCTGTAAAGACTCTCTTCCATCCTCCCAGTTCCTCTGTCTCCGTCGCATCTGTTCTGATGATCCAACTTTGACAATGGGGCCTCCAAAATGTTCATCTCAGCCCCTCTGTGGCTCACAAGGGTCTTGGCTGTCTGCGACCCGTTTCCCGCACCTCAGCCCTCGCTCTCTCTTTTCTCTCCCACAACAGCAATAGGGTCCCCTTATCCTCACCTACCGTCCTACGCAACATTCACATCGAAAGGCTTATTAGCCTCCATATCCATGTCCAGCGAACTGCCACCATCAGACATGCATTCCTCCCCACAGGAACGGTTCCTTTTGGGAAACCTAGGTTCACTCCTCTGCTCCCAACATCTAACCATAACCCCACAGCATCTTCCCCTGCAATCAAAGAAGGTGTAACACCTGCCCACTTATTTCTTCCCTCCCCACTCTCCAAGGTCCCAGACACACCTTCTTGGTGAAGCAGCGATTTACCTGAAATCCGCCCAATCATCTAGTCTACTGCACTGGCTGCTCACCATGTGGTCTCCTCTACATTGGGATGATGAAGCATAGGCTAGGTGACTACTTTACAGAACACCTATATTCTGTCTTCAAAAATGACCCTGACCTTCCGCTTGCCTGTCATTTCAACACATACCTCCGTGTTACCTGGCCAACATCTGTGCTGGGCTTGCTACACTGCTCCAGCAAACTGTAAGAACAGCACCTCATTTTCTGCTTAGGAACCCTGCAACCTCGTAGGTGAATATAGAACATTTTAGGGCTTGGGGCACCACCTCCCATGTCCTTACCCAACCTCCCCGCACACAGCCTTGTTGTCACATGAGCTGCTACTACAAACAACTGTTAGCAGTCCACGTTAGCTGTTCATTTTCCTGTGCTGGCTTTACCCATTGCATTGTTTCTCTCTCTTCACTTTCTCTTCTCCCCCTCACGCTCCTCCCTCTACCAACCTTGTTCTATCTCCTGTCAGTTGTGAAGAAGGGTCACTGGACCTGAAATGTTAACTCTGCTTCCGCTTCACAGATGCTGCCAGAGCTGCTGAGTTTTTCCAACAATTTCTCATTTTGTACTATCAGATAGTGGGGGTAAAGAGAGAGATGCACAGAATACATCAGAAATTTTGTGAACATCAAAATTTTGCGAAAATTACGACCTTAAAGTAATTATTATCAGTAAAGGAAATTATTGCAAAAGGTATTAGTATTTTACCTACTAATTGATCCTCCACACTTTCAAGAGGTAGCTGCAGAGATTGAATAACTTACTTTCAGAATTTCTTACTTTCTACAACATCCCTGTTGTTTGGATAATTGCATGTTTATCCATGCTGTTCAAGAAAGGAGTGTGTGTGTGGCTGTCAGCTCCTGGAATGTCGGGGTGGGTAATAGACACACGAGGGCAGTTATGTTGTGAAACCATTGTGTTGTTGAGTCCTAAAAAATCCCCAAGGGGATGACCTTGCTGGAGCACTGCAGTAGGCTTGAGACAGAATTTTGGTAAGGCAACATGATAGTGTGTTGTGAAGTGGCAGGCAACTGGAAGCTCGAGTTCACCATGTACAGAAAGAATATTGGTGTTCTGCAAAGTGGTCACCAATTCTGTTTCATCTCCCCAATGCAGAAAAGACTGCACAATGAGGTAGAAATACAGTAGACTAGATTGAATCAAGCGGAGGTAAATTGCTGTTTCACCTGGAAGCGTGCGTCAGGGGCGTTGGATAAAGAGGAGATAAACAGACTGTTGCACCTTCTGGGATTGCATGGGGACGTATTGGAGCAGAGGAGAAGTGGGTCGGGCTGTCCCTGAGGGAATGGTCCATGCGGAATGCTGAGGGGAGGGGAGGGGAATGTGTATCTGGTGTTGGCATCCCACCTGGAGGTGGCAGAAATGGCAGCTTATGACCATTTGGATGTGGAGGCTGTTGGGTTGGAAAGTGAGGACCAGTTTGGTCATGGCTTAATTTTTGGCTAACCTTCATTCTCCCACCTGCCAACCTTGCCCCACACCCATGCCATCTCATCCTTTAATCCCTTGAGAATGCAGTTAATCTGTCTCTTCTCACCTTAACTATACTCACCAATGGAGGATTCACAACTCTCTGGGGTCGATTACTGAACATGTTATGAACCTTTGGCGCAAAGAAATTAGTCCTAAGTGATCAGCCTCTTGTCCTAGGATTGTTTCCCCAGGTTCTGGATCCCTCAGCTAGGAGAAGTAACCTGTCTGTCTACTTTGTAAAGCTTCTCCATAATCTTGAACGTTTCAATGAGGCCACCCCTCAGCCTTTTTTATACTCCAATATAGATTCAATTTACTCAGCCTCTCAACATTGGTTCCCTGGATTAGAATGTTCTCCAATCTTGTGAACCTTCAGTATACTGCCTCTAATGCGAGATTGTCCTTCCTTAAATATGGAAACTAAAACCTCTTAGTACTGCAGGTGAGATCTCACCAAAGCCCTGTAAAATGTTGGCAAGACTTCCTTATTCTTGTACTCCGGTTCCTTTGTGGTAAAGGACAATATGCCATTTCCTTCCTAATTGCTTGCTTTACCTGCATGTTGACTTTGTGATCCTTGTACAAGCACACTTGATTCTCTCTTTCAAAAATTTAAAACTCCATGCTGCTTTCAGAAGAAGGGATTCTACTTGTCTATTTTTGTATAACCTTGTGCTTCCGCACAATGCACTCAAGCTTCCACCTTCTTGCCCATTCACTTAACCTGTCTATATCACTTTTTTGTCCCCTTCAAAACTACATTCCTGCCTAACTGTGTATCACCAGCAAGTAGGATGTTGACTAGCTAATTGGCTAGATGCAAGCTGGTGCCTCCAGCATGGTTCACTTCCTGTGTAGACTGTGGTAATTCATGGAGGCCTGTGTCCTTGCTGTGCCCTTGGCTGATGTGAAGTGGTGTCCCTCAGGTTAAATAGTCATAAGCCTCTCTAACAGAGAGGTGTCTGTCGTCCCACATGGGCCATGGGCTAATCGTCTTCTTTAGTAAACTTAAATGATTTTTGGTCTCTTCATCTGAGAAATTCCTGCAAATTGTAAATATCCTTGCTGCACATGATTAATCACCAGTTCCAACATGAATATTCCTATCTGTAAATCAGTCTTCTGTTCTACTAATATGTGACCCAAATGAGTCAATATTTTGTAAATTAACATTTTGTGAGGCACCTCATCAAATGCCTTTTGCCAACTACCTGTAATTTCTTACTTATTTTCATTCTCCTTTTCTAATAGTTATTATATTTGTAGGCTTCTTTTTTAAATTCACTCATGGGATGTGGGTATCTCTGGCTTATGCCATCATTTATTGCCCAGAGGGCAGTTAAAAGTCAACCTCATTGTTCTGGGTCGGACATCAAATATAGGCCAGACCAGGTAAGGATGACTGAGATCCTTCCATATCGGACATTAATGAATCAGCTGGGTTTTTCTAACAATTAATAATGGTTTCATGGTCATCGTTAGACTGTTAAATGCCAGATTAAGGAACATTCCTCTGCTAGGAATGTTCTAAAATTTAGGGTGTATGACAAGACCACAGGGTATTCACTACCTGTATCTTTTGGAACTCCAATATGTTCGCCAAGGCCCTAACAATTTGTCAAATTTTAGTCCCTTAAGTCTCTCCAGTACTTTTCCTCTCGTGGCAACCATGACCTTTCGGCTTTCAGACAGCCAAGCAAGTGCTAAAGTTAAGTTTTATGAGAAGGATCATTCCTAAACTTTTGAAAACAACCAATTTGTTTAAGTGGTAGGTAGAAGAAATAATTCTAAGTATGATGAGTTTAAATAACAAGTCAGAAGCAAATTGAAATATTTGACGATATTGCCAACATATTTTTATGATTATAAATTACATACTCTCTTTTTAACATGTCTTTTGGGGTGGAGAGATGAGTAGTGAAAAAATGTGTTGCTGTGTTTCAGACAGTATTATGGACAAAGAAATGTTCTGTTGATTCTGTTTCTCTAATATCCCCACTAATTTTGTTTCTGCAGCTGTTGCATGATAGAAAACAGGTGCCGTCTTGCAAAGTTGCAAACAGTGTCCAGAATAGAAAGATCTCATTGCTGAATAGGTTCAATTTGAAGTGTCTAACAAGCGTGACTTTATAATAATTAGGCTAAGTTTATGACATTCACATTAGAATATAAATGTTTTGAGAAGATTCTGGAAAAATAGAGACTATATTTTTCCAAAAAAAAAG